AGACGGGTGGGTGGGTGGGTGCTGCACCAGGGTCTCCAGCGGAGCCTCGCTGGCGCTGTGCTCTGCTCCAGCCCCAGGTCAACCTCTACGGCTCCCACCCCTTCTACCTGGGGATGGAGGATGGTGGTTTGGCCCACGGTGTCTTTCTGCTGAACAGCAATGCTATGGGTGAGTCCCATGGAGGCGCCGGGCGTGGGCTTGGCTGCCGTCCCCATCCTCAGCTTGTTCCTCCGGCGCTTGTGCTTCCCCAGATGTGCTCCTGCAGCCCAGCCCGGCCCTGACCTGGCGCACGACGGGTGGGATACTGGACTTCTACGTCTTCCTGGGCCCCGACCCCAAGAGCGTGGTGCGGCAGTACCTGGAAGTTGTCGGTAGGGCCGAGCCATGGGCGGGGGGCACGGGCACTCCTGGGATGGCTTTGCCGGGATGCTGTGAGCTGTGTGGCGTGGCTGGCATGGCGGAGCGGGTCTGTGGGGGAGCGCAATGCTGGGCCATCCCTGTGCCCGCCTGGCCAGCACCCACGCTCCCGGCTTCCAGGGTTCCCCTTCATGCCTCCGTACTGGGGCCTGGGCTTCCACCTCTGCCGCTGGGGCTATTCCTCCACCGCCATCACCCGGCAGGTTGTGGCCAACATGACGGCAGCCCGCTTCCCCCTGGTAGGTCTCAGCTACTCTCCAGGAGCCTCTGCCCGAAAGTGGCCATGGCGGGGCCTGATGGGGAGCCCCGGTGGGTGGGGGGTCCCTGTTCCTCCCCGAGCACCGGTGCCACCGTCCACAGGACGTACAGTGGAATGACCTGGATTACATGGATGCCAAGAGGGATTTCACCTTCAACAAGAAAAGCTTTAAGGACTACCCGGAGATGGTGCGGGACTTCCACCTCCGCGGCCTGAGGTACATCATGATCGTGGTGAGTGACACCCCCGGCCGTGCCGGGGCTCCCGCACTGGTGGGCTGGCACTGGGGTTTCTTGTGGGCGCACTGGGGTTTCTGGCTGCTCCCAAGGGTGGTGATGGAGCTTCCTCCGAGGAAGGAGGGGGAGGCCATTCCCTGCTCTTGCTGGTGAAGCCCTGGCTTTGTGCCCTGTCAGGATCCTGGGATCAGCAGCTCGGGGCCTCCCGGCACCTACAAGCCCTACGACGAGGGACTGAAGCGAGGGGTGTTCATCCGAAACGCCACAGGGCAGCCCCTGATCGGGAAGGTGCGTGCGAGGAGCAGCCCTGGTCCCCCCGGGAGGGGGCTTGAGTGGGGCCGTGGGAGTGGGACCCCGAGAG